CCAAGTCAGCAGAGGCAGTGAGGGAGGATCCAGGTGTTCAGGAGCTGGACCTGTGACCTTATGGAGAGAGCTCAAAGGGCTGGAGCCCACAAGGATTGGCTTTGGACCAGAAGCACATCAGGGAGATGGACCATGGACGGAGATGGAATCCCAGTGATTGTAGGCAGAAAGAAAATATTTTTTGAACTCCCAGAAATAAATGACACAATAGAATAATAGTAATAGTGATAACAAATGCTCTTTCAGAGGTTTTTTTGTTTATTTTGGGTTTTTTTGTTTGTTTGTTTTGTTTTGAGACAGGGTCTCCCTGCAGCCCCAGCTGGACCGGAAGTCACTATGTAGACCAAGCTGGCCTTGAACTCACAGAGATCCGCCTGCCTCTGCCTCCCAAGTGCTGGGATTAAAGGTGTGCGCCACCACGCCCAGCTAACACATAGTTTTTTAAAAATCATGAATCCAGCATTATCTTCATGGATCCAGCACTATCTCATGTGTCTTGTTCATACCCTTCCGTACCTTCTTCTAATCAGTGAAAAGTACTAACATTAAAGATACACACTATTTGAGGGCTTTTTTTTGGTTTGGTTTGGTTGGTTTGTTGGTGGTGGTGGTGATTTTTGTTTTGGGAGTTTCGTTTTATTTTTTTGTCTTTTTTGGGGGCAGTGTCTCCCTGTAGCCCCGGCTAGCCTGGAACTCACTATGTAGAGCAGGCTGGCCTTAAACTCACAGAGATTCGCCTGCCTCTGCCTCTCCAGTGCTGAGGTGAAAGGCGTGCGCCACCACGCCCGGCTTGTTGTTGTCTTTTTGAGAGAGGGTCTCCCTGAGCCCCAGCTGAAACTCACAAAGATTTGCCTGCCTTTGCTTCCCAAGTGCTGAGACTAAAGATGTGTGCCACCACACCAGACTTCTTTGAGGTTCTTGTTGTTGTTTTATAGTAGTGAGGACTGAACCCAGAGTTTTGCTCATACTAGGCAAGCACTCTACCACTGAGTTATAGCTCCAACTTTCTTTTTTTTTTTTTTTGGGTCTTTTTGAGACAGGGTCTCCCTGTAGCCCCAGCTGTCCTGGAACTCACTATATAGACCAGGCTGGCCTTGAACTCACAGAGATCTACCTGCCTCTCCCTCCCAAGTGCTGGGATTAAAGGCATGCGCCACCACACCGAGCTCCAACTTTCTTTTCACTTTTCATTTCAAGATAGGATCTCACTAAATTGTCCAGGAGACTTTAAACTCACTGTGTAGCCCAGGCAAGTCTTTAACTTGTAATTCTGCCTGTTTCCAAGTAGCTGGGTTGACAGGTGGGAGCAGCAGATGAGGGTCTTTAACATAAACAGCACCAGAGATTTTCTCAATCAGCTGTGTGTTTCCATAACCTTACCCTTCATCTAGTTCCTTTTTTTGAAAACTCCGTTTAGCAGCAGCGCAGTGAACAGCTCTTGATTTCTCCTACCAAAGCGTAGACCCAGTGTACAAAGCGTAGACCCAGACCTGGATTCCTGCCCAATCCATCACAGGCCGTGCTCCGACCTTTGCCATGGCCCAGATTCCTTATCTGTAGGAAGAAGGAATTCCACTCCTGGCCTGTTTCACAGAGCTGTAGTTGGATTCAAAGGAGCAGGCGCATGGGGCATTTCCAAATGCGCTTGTAATCGCCTCTGTAAATCCCTCAGGGAGGCAAACCAGATCTGACCCCTGTCTTACAGCTGAGAAAACTGGGCTTACAAGCAATGGAACTGGCCCCAGTCCCCACCTAGTACATGGCACAGCAGGCCTGCACCCCCAGGCTATGGAAACTGTCACTGATTACAGAAACTTCACTGACATGGAAATTGTCACCTACTCATTTTCAAAGTGTGTGTGTGTGTGTGTGTGTGTGTGTTCTTGCCAAACTTATGGGGCTGAAGATGTAAATCAAAGCTACCAGACAGTCAAAAAGGGTGAATGTGTCAACAGAGGAGGTCAGGGAAGCAGTCCCACAGTTTATCACTGGAGTATAGCTGGTACCTACCAAAATCCAAAAGGAGCTCACCTGTGGGTCCACAGGCTCCATGACCAAGAATCCACACTGTGGAAGTGTCTGTGGGCACACACAGAGGGTACGTGTTCTCTGTAGGCAGTGACTAATGAAATTGCTAGTCAACAGAGGACTGGTAAATAAAGGAATATCATGTAGTGATTAAAAAGATGTGATAGGTTGACATGTTCTGTCTGACATGCAATAATCTCCCAGCAGGACTGGGGTGATGGCTCAGGGGGGCAAAGTGCTTGTTGTGCAACATGAGGACCTGAGTTCTGATTCTTAGAATCCAAATGAAAGCTGGGCATGGTACCATACTTCTGTAACCCCAGCACTGGGGTAGGTAGAGATAAGCAGATCACAGGGCCTCACTGGCCAACTAGTCTAGTGGAAAAGGTGAACTCCAGATTCAGTGAGGGAGCCTGACTCAAAAAATAAGGTGGAGAATGATGGAGGAAGACACCCAATGTCACATTCTGGTCTCTACATGTGCACACAAAGGCAAGCACACCCACATAAGTGTGCATACACACACACACACACACACACAGTCTTTGAGCAGTATCACTGAACAGAATACAAATCACAGAACACGTACTACAGTTCATGTTTCTGTAAAAGATCCTCATCAAGGCTGGGAGATGGCCCAAGTTTGAATGTTAAAAGCCAAGGTTGAACACACGTGCCTGGAGCCCGAAGCACTGTGGGGAGTGGACACAGGAGGACAGCTGGGGCTTTTTGCTGGCTACCAGCCTAGCTCCAGGTTCAGTGAGAGACCATCTTAAGGGAATAAGGCAGTGGAAAGTGATAAAGCAGGACACCCAGTGTCATCCTCTGGCCTCTGCACACCTCCCCACACACATTATATATTCATTTGTGATTGTATATACATACATAAAGGCCGAAAAAGATAGATACCTATGATAATAACATCTGGAGAAGAAAATAAAATAGAGAACTCTCTCCTTTTTCTACTACTTGAACTGCACGTGTGTGTGTGTGTGTGTGTGTGTGTGTGTGTATGTGTGTGTGTGTGTGTACAGCCTCTTGTGCAAGAGGTGCTGGGGATGGAACCCTGGGTCTCCTAAATGCTGGGCAAATGTTCTACCACTGAGCAATACCCCCACTCTTCAAATATTGTTTTACGACCAAGTATCCCTGTCTTTTATATATAAACTTATTTAAATAACAAAAAAAAAAGCACACAAAATGAAAATCAAAGCACAAAGCCCCTATTCAAGTTGCACAGGGCAAGAGTGGCCAAAGACAACTCTAGGGAACTCCCTCCACCCTTCGCCCAGCCCCTCAACACCAGCTTTCTTCTCTCACAGGAGGCTCTCGGGTTGGCTTCAGCCTGGGCATCTAAGCAGCGGCTGCTTGAGGCTGGGCGTGTCTTCCTGTCTTCCTTCCTTCACGCCACTCAGCCCCCAACCAATCGCCTTGGGGATTTTCATACGTAGGGTGCTGGAAACTCTCACTGAAACTTTAAGCCCCAAGCACCTAGCTGTGGACAACTCAGGCTGAGGTGGTTTTCCTTTCTGGAAACCCAGAGCAGATGGGGCCAACAGTTGGGGCAGACATGGGAGGGTGGAACCCAGACACCCCCACAGACACTCTCAGCCTCTATGCCAACACAAGAAAGAAAACACCCTGCAAAGAGACTGAGAATGGGCTGAGAGTCTGTTTCACCCCATGCAGCCCTCACTCCTGAACAGGAGAGCAGGGCTCACAGCTGGGACACTTGCCCACACTACCCGAAACAGGCTGCTTGAGGAACCGGCATCATGCCCCCTTGCTGGGTACGCCCACCATGTACACATAGCCCTGTCCTGGCACTATTGAGACCATAGGCTGCCACTAAGATAAAGTTGGAACTGCTACTTTGACAATTCCAACGTAGAGGCCCAGGCAGTGCAACAACACCTACCCACAACCCCAGAGACAGAACTGCCACACAGGACTTCAATGCAACCAGAACTTCAAGGAACCAGGCCTAACAATCCAAAGCCCTAAAAATGAAGGCAGTGTGGCCAAGAGGACTCAGAAATGCCCAGCAGGACCTCCAGGAAACCACCTACAGCTTCATCTTGAAGTCCAGTTGGGACTTGAGAGGTGGGTATCAGACCTAAGTTGGTGTGGCCTTCACTCATTCCCTCCTCCATTCACCCTGTGCTGGGGCACAGTCTGCAACATGGACACAGGTTCCCATTCTTAAATGAGGTGTAAACAAACCAGCTGAAGGGAGAAATGTCAACCCATGTGACATTGTCCCCTTCACCCCAGTCCCACCTTTAGCTAAAATGTTCAAAACAGGCAGGCCTCAATTTCCCCTCCAGGGGCTGACTGGTCAGGGACTCTAAGGCACTCTTAGCTGGCAAGTAATAACTCTGTAATCTCCTGACCTTCATGAGCTCCAGACTCATTGCGAGGCTCTGGGGGCAGAGTCTGTGGCTTGAACGTCACCGCCTGCCTAATGTGGGTCCCTGGTTGAAAGGGCAACAGGGCCTGAGGCTGCGGATCAGGAGAGGCCCGGCTGTGTGCACTCGGCAGACTTGGCCAGAGCCTGCCTCTGCCTGAGCGTCGGGAGGAAAGCAGCTTAGCCCTCAGGGCTGGCGCAGGCAGTGTGGGGGCGAGCCAGGGCATCGCTGGGGCATTTGGGCGGGAGGAGCCTGGTGGAGCACCCACTGGGGGCTGGGTACCCGTGGGAGTCACAAAGAGCGCAGCCCCGGGGTCACCAGACACTGCCACGGTCCGCGGTGTAGAGACGGGCTGGAGGTCAGAGTCACCCACAGCCAGGCCACACTCCGGCCCGGGGGAGGGTCAAGCCCCTGGGGCCGGGTGACTTAGGCCTCCCTCCTTCCTCCAAGCCCCTGAAGTCAGCTCCGAACGCGAAGTCGCTGGACAGGGGCGACCTCCCGGGATGGTGGGATGGTGGCTCTGGTCCCCGGGCGCCACGCTCCTCCGAGGGACGCGTCACTCACCTTGAGCACCTGCTGCTCGATGAGCGAAGGGACCTTGACGATCATGACAGCGCCGAGCACAGCGCACAGCAGTCCCAGGGCGCCCAGCCCCAAGACCACCCAGCGGGCCCTGGAGCTGCCGCCCATCTCCGCGTGCTTCGCCGGGGCTCGCGGGACTCCGGGCCTGCGACAGTGACGATCTAGGCCTCGGAGGCCACAGAGATGAAAGAGTCGACAGAGGTGGGGGCTCCCGCAGCGGCACGAGGAGTCCCGGGTGGCGGCGGGCGAAGCGGCAGCCCGGCAGGTGGCCAGAGGCTTTATGCGCCATGGCCCGGGCCGCACCGCCCCTGGCTCAGAGCGGGATTCGGGTGAGATAGGGGCGGGGCGGGACGGGGCGGGGCTCCGGGCGGGTTGCTTGGGGCGTGGCCTTATTCTGGACACACCCCTCCCTGCTTGGGCAGGGCGCTGGCGGGGCGGTCTAGGCACGTGCCATAGGTGCCAGCATGTCCGCCGTCCACGCCCTTCTGCCCTTCCTTGTCCCACTATGGCCCCGATCGTGCGAGATCTGTGTGAGCAGAAGCGCCTTGCACCGTCTAACCCCACGCCTGGGACCTCTCCTCTCTCCTTCACTGCCTAGGTGTCCTCAGAGCAGCTGCAGCCGGCTGAGGCCTGCCTCAGGACCTTTGCTCTACCTCCTCTGAGAACACCCGCAGGGTGTCTCCATTCAGAAAGAAGTTTTATGTTCCTTATCAGCTGCCTCCCCCGAGGCCAAGCTCTCGGCAGCTTTCTTATCACACAGCACCACCGCTCAGTTGTGCACTCTTTTGCCATCAGCAGAACTGGGGATGCCAGTCCCAAGGTGAAGACTCGGCATCCTGGCCCTGCTCAGTACGCAGCTAGTTCATGCCGGTCCAGCAGCAAGAGCTGCTCAACATAAGGGCTGCTAAGTAAGCGAAGCTTATAATGGCTCCGTGTCACAGGCAAGGAAACTGAGGCACAGGGCAGTTTCACTCAGCCAGTCCAAGCCTGCCTTGCAGTCAGGAAACCGCATGGTGGATAAACCCCACCTCCAAAATACAGCACCGCACCTGTCTGCACAACAGCACCTTGCCCTGGGGCGACGCCTGCAGGCCAGGCCCTTGGCTTTTCAGAACAGACTCTGGGTCAAACAGGGATGATGATGGCACAGCAGCTAGGATCCTTGACACTAAGTAGGCAAACCAATGCTCCTGAGAATGGGGTCTCCTCCAGCTCCCTGTAACCCCCAGGATGCCTCTACGGGACCACTTCAGTAACGTGTCCTCAAATCAAGATTTACAGGGCAATAGCCAGGCCGTGGTGCAGGTCTTTAATCCTAGCACTCGAGAGGCAGAAGCAGGCAGACCTCTGTGAGATTTGAGGCCTGCCTGGTCTACATAGTGAGTTCCAGGCTAGCTGGAACTACAGAGAGACTCAGTCTCAAAAAAATGTGTGTGTGTGTGTGTGTGTGTGTGTAAAGATTTACAGAGTACCGGGGCTGGAGAGATGGCTCAACAGTTTAGAGCCTGTACTGCTCTTGCAGAAGACCCAAGTTGAGATCCCAGCATGGAGTGGCTCACAGTGGCCTGTAACTCCAGTTTTATGGGATTTGACACCTCTGACCTCCTCAGGCATCCCCACACATGTGCACATGTGCACATAATTTAAAAATGAATTTTTGTAAAGTATTTACTAAGCACCAAGTAGATCCTGGCCAGACAGCCCTGTGGCTCAGCTCATGTGATAGATACCTTCTACCTTTGTCAGGGACATCGGGGGCTGGACAGGTTCAAAGGAACCCAGGCTGTGGAGACTCCCACCCCAGAGTCCTGGGGTCCTCCACCTCATCCTCATCTGTGACATGTATGTGGTAAGACTGCTGTCCTCAGGTTGACAGAGCCAGGTGGGAAAGTGCCAGGCTCAGAGCCTGAAATGTACAGGTGTGACACAGTTACAGTTCCAAGAGTCCACCCACCTCTCTCAGCCCCAGCTGCCCCCTTGTCCACTCCCAGCCTCTGTCTTTCTTGTGTGTATATGTGTGTGTCTATATTTGTTTCTGAGTGCACACATCTGCTTTTTGAGGCAAAATCTCCCACTGGGACCTAGGGCACACTGGTTAGATAAGTCTGACTGGGCAGCAAGCCCCAGAGATCCTCCTGTCTTTGCCTCCCAGCACTGCAGTGGCAAGCACATGGTATGACTTTTCATGGGGGTGCCAGGAATCCATCTCTGGTCCTCAGGTTCCTGTGGCAAGTGCTTTACAGACTGAGCCCTTTCCCCATCCCTCCCCGCTGTTCTTCTGTGACTTGAACACCTCCAACTCTTGACACAGGACTACTGCACTTGTTGTTTTTGAAACAGGGTCTTCCTGTAGCCCTAGCTGGTCTGGGACTCACTATGTAGATCAGGCTGGCCTCCATCTCACAGAGATCTGCCTGCCTCTGCGTCCTGGCTAATTGCTGTTTTTTTTAAATTATTTGTTATTTTTATTTTATGTGTATGGGTGTTTTGCCTGCATGTATGTAAATACACCCACGTCATGCAATGCCCAAGGAGGTCAGAACAGCACATCAGGTCCCCTGGACCTCGAGTTACAGATGGTTCTTAATCATCATATGGGAGCTAGGAACCAAACCCCAGTCCTCTGCAAGAGCAGCCAGTGCTCTTAATCACTGAGCCATCTCTCCAGCCCCCTAATTGCTGTTCTTGATGCCATCTGGCTCTTTCTCTAGGTCCTTCGGTAGCTGAATCTTTTTCTTCCAGGTCTCAGCTCAAAGTCCACACATCAGAGAAGACATTACATTTAATTTATTGAAAATAGGTGACCTTCCAGGTGTGAGTGTACTCACTAGTAATCCCAGTACTTGGGAGATAGAGGCAAGAGGATCAGGAGTTCAAGGTCCTACATTGTTTATACAGGAAGTTCAAGGCCATCCTGACTTACAGGAAACCTTGTCTCAAAAAAAAAGAGAAAAGCTGGACCTCGTGGGCACACCTTAAATCCCAGCACTTAGGAGGCAGAGGCAGGTAGATCTCGGTGATCAAAGCCAACCTGGTCTATGTAGGGAGTTCCAGAGCAATTGAGGCTATAAGGAGACACTGTCTAACAAAAAAATCAAAACAAAATAAAATGGGGGGGGTGTCTGGTGAGATGGCTCATCAAGTAAAGAAAGGCACTTGGCACTCAACCCTGATCCTAACAACTGATCTTGATTCCCAGAACCCACAGTAGGAGAGAACCAACTCCATAAGGCTGTCCTCTGACCTCCACCTGGGAGGTGACATGCACACCCTCCTACACACACACACACACACACACACACACACACACACACACACACAATAATAATAATAATAATAAATAAAATTAAGGGAAAGAAAGAAAAGAAAATCGGTATTCAATTCCATTCATCTGAAATGAGAGAAAGAAGTTGGTCTTTGGGGTAGTCAGTGTATCTCTGGCACCTGAAACTACACACCTAGCGAACCACCAAGCAGGAATGGATAAAAAGTTTAAGCAGCCAGGTGTGGTGGTGCTCGCCTTTAATCCCAGCACTCAGGAGGAAGAAGCAGGCAGATCTTTGTGAGTTCAAGGCCAGCCTGATCTACATAATGAGTTCCAGCTCAGCTGGAGCTACAGGGAGACCCTGTCTCAAAAAAAAAAGAAAAGAAAAAGTTTAAGCAATCTGGATGGTGAGATGGCTCAGTGGGTAAAGGTGTTTGCACAAAGCCTGATATTCTGAGTTCAATCCCTGGGGACCCCATGGTGGAAGACGAGAACCAACTCTTGCAAGTTGTCCTCTGACCTCCACTGCACATACATACAAAATAAATGTTGTTTTTTTTTTATTTAAGCCATCCATTAGGGAATTCATTCATTAACCAAGGGACTCATAGACCATTTAACCAATGAAATCCCACTGAAGGGGACTGGAGAGATGGCTCAGTGGTTAAAAGCACTTACTGTTCTTCCAGAGAATACAAGTTCAGTTCCTAGCACCCATGTTGAGTGGTTCACAAACACTTGCAACTCCAGTTCCAGGGAATCCAACACTTCTGGCCTCAACAGACACCAACGCTTGAGTGTACATACTCATACACAGACACACACATACACATAATTAAAAATAAAATTAATCTTTTAAAATGAAATAAAATTTCACTAAATTCCTTAAGGCCTTCAACAGCCTTTAGCTCTGGGATTGTTTTTATTTCTAATGACGTCAACGGTTCTTGGAAATTTGCCAGCCAGCTTAATGCTCAGGTCTGCGTGGCCCTGACACCCCTCTTCTTTGATACCCACTTGCCTTGAGCAACTCATGCAATCCAACCTGTCACCGCATCTTCAAGGTCCAGATGTGCGTGGTGCTTACTGCAGAGAGCCCAAGGCCAGGGCCACAGCACAGGGACACGACAAACTGCCATTTGATGACAGACGAGACAGCAGAGATGAAAGGATGCCCAGCACATGTGACCAGCCCAACCTTGAGGGGAGTTGGGGAGATGACACAGGGCGTCCTAGGAAGGAAGAGCAAGAAGGGTATGACAGGTACAGCGGTAGGCCTGCAGGGGAGGTGCATGGAGGAAAAGGTCAGAGAGTGTGAGGGAGACTTGTGCTGAAGAGCCGAGCAGAGAAGCCCTCCTCAACAGAGCCTTGCATGATCAAAAGACAGCAAGAAGCCAGGCCTGACACCCCAGCTTTGGGAGGTTGAGGCAGGAGGATCACAAGCTCAAGGCCTGTGACTGATCAAGGCCAGCAACTTAGTGAGACCCTGTCCCTAAAAGCAACTTGAGGATGTTGGTCGGTAGAGTGCTTGCCTAGCACACATGAGGCTCTGGGGGTCCATCTCCAGTACAGAGGAGGAAAAGAAGGCAGCCAGAGATGCTGAGACCCAGGCCCCACACACTGGTGCACACCTATTAAATAGTACAGCTTCCAATGCTGGGCCTTGAGTCCCCACAGGCCCTGGCTCTGCTTCAAGGTCTCTGCCCCACAAAGACGATGCATGAGTTCACAGCAACACCTGCGTATGAATGTTCCAGTCTTCCTCTCCACAGCAGCCCATTCACCCAACAGCTGAGGAGTGGATACATAAAATATGGTCTGTCAGAGGAGGGAATTCTGCTCAACAGAAAATTGGTGAGACCATGTGAATGAATGTGGAAGACACAGGCCACAACCCTGATACCAAATGTGCATGAACTGCCCAGAGAGGTGAATCTACAGTTAGAAAAATGCTTAGGAACTGCCAGGGGCTTCTGGAGAGCAGGAATGGAATGCAAACAAGGCTTATTTTTTTACAGTAGTAGCCTGACACCGATGAGGT